CAAACATCATAAAATCCTAATCTAGATAATAACCTTTTTACATTGTATACCCAACTTATATGATTAGGATGGGATTCAAGATCACTTTTTAAAACATTGTACATTTTCTTTGCATATTTAACATCATCACTTTGACATAACTTTAACCAGTACCGTATTATATGTAAATATCTATGAGTAATATAAGAGACTCTTCCGGTTTCACCATAAACAAATGCATTTTGACAACTTATTTTAACACCTAATAATCTTTTGCAAAAACTAAGATGCGCTCTTTCTATATGAGTAGCTTTGTGAAATCCCCATACTTCAGAACAATAATTCATTACAGGCGTTACTAATTTATCATGCAAATTTAACATATGTTTAGGTGTGATTGGTGTGAACTTATACAAATATTTATCAAGTTTAAAAGTTGCTTTCAAAGCTTGGCCTGCTAACATTTTGTCCATTTCATTAAAAAACACCTCCTGTCGTAAAATATAACACCCAGATATTTAAACTTGCTAACAATTTCTATATTTTCATTATTATAAGTGAATACTAAATTTTCAGGAAGACGTCCAGCTTTTCTAAAAATCATAATTTTTGTTTTCTTAGTATTGACAGTAAGCTTCCATTTAGAACAATATTCTTGTAACACATTTAATGAATTCTGTAAGCCATCTGCAGAATGAGAAAATAATACAATGTCATCCGCATACAATAGTAAACATAGTTTCATGGTACCAATATCAATGCCTTCTATACCTTTATTTATAAATATATCTTCTATATCGTTTAAAAACATGCTAAATAGGAAAGGTGATAGACATTCACCTTGACGGACCCCTAAATGACACTCAAAAACTTCACTTAAAGAGTTAAAAACTTTAACTTGTGATTTTACACACTCATACATTGACTTAATCACATTTAAAATGTTCCCTCTTATTCCTAATTTAATAAGTTTGTACCACAAAATATCTCTTACCACAAAATCAAAGGCCTTTTGAAAATCAACAAATGCACAAAAAAGTTTTTCTTTATTGTTTAACGTATAAGATATAAGGCTGCTTAAAACAAAAATATTATCTACTGTACTCATATTTTTTCGAAAACCGGCCTGCGCCTCTATATAAACATTATAATTTTCGGCCCATGCATTCAACCTGTTATTCAAAATTCTAGTGAACAGTTTACCTAACACACTTAATAGGGTAATACCTCTATAATTACTTGGCTCCCCTAAGTCACCACTTTTAAAAATTGGCACAATAAAACCGTCGCTCCATGCACTTGGAAAATAACCCATATTTAAACATTTATTAAATAATTGGAATAAATACGGTAGTAATATGTCTATACCATGCTTAAAAAATTCATTGAGTAATAGATCGGGTCCTCCACTAGCACTGTTCTTAAGCTGTTTAACTGCTTTTACAATTTCTAAGTTACTTATCTCTGCGTCTAATTCAGAAAACATTACTTGAAGTTCCCCATTTAAATATCTATCGCTAAAAAATAACATATCTTCATCTGCCTGGTAAAAAGTATTTTCCGGGTTATTAATGGCTTTAAAATATCTGGCGAAATGTTCAGTTGAAGGTGACATTGAATTAACGGTATTACCAGATAACCCTTTCAACATTTTCCAATACTGCTTTGCATTTTCAACCCTGGCTTTAATCAATTTATTTGTATTAAATTGTCTATCTCTATAACGCTTTTCCCTTAGCATGTGTTTATACTGCGACCTTGCTCTGCACATATTTACTTTATTACTATCACTTTTACAATTTCGATACACATTTAGGCATTTATAGAAAAAGTCTCGTTTTGACGCACATTCATCGTCAAACCATTTTTGCTTCATATCTATAACAGGAGTATTTACTGGGTTTTTCGGTACATGCTTAAATAGTGGGGAGCAAACTCTGTCAATTATAGTTAAAAAACAAGATATGTTTTCGTCAACATCATTGCTATTTACTACAGCGTTTAATTCAGATGTAAGACTATTTATTTGTTGTAACACTAAATCCTCAGACAGATTTCGTTTATAATCATGCAACTTATCTGTATTCCATTTATACGTATATTCGATATTGCTACAAACATTTTCATCTAACAAATCTATATCTTGCAATTTTGCAGAAAGGCTAAATGTTACTACACAATGGTCAGATAATATATTAGGATCTAGCACTTCAAAGGAATCACACAATTTAAAAATATTTCCACTTGCTAATACATAATCAACTAAACTATTTCCGAGCGGACCAATAAATGTGTATTTCCCTATATTTGCATCTTTTCCTATACGACCGTTAAGTATTCTGAGGCCAGATTGCTTACAAAAGTCTAAAAGCAATGTTCCATTCTGGTTTGTCCCAAAATCTTGAGACATTCTTGGTAAAACATGATCTGGTACATAATTATCAGGTAGACAGGAGCTAATATGTATATCTAATTCATCATCATTGACATAATCATTCAACTGACCAACTCGGCTATTTAAATCCCCTAGAACTATAAAAGAACAATTATCATTTGTGATACTACTAATTTTTACCATTTCATTTAAAACTCTATCGTATATGTTTGACAAAATGAAAGCTTCTCTTGAGCTTCCTTTCGGTACTACATAACAAAGACACAAAAATATATCATTATGTAAATCAAATACTGAACCGTCAATTTTCAGCCATAAAATATCATCGCTATCTGTGCTGTATAAAGACACAAAATCAATCAAGTCAAGTTTTACGTATACAGCAACGCCGCCAGAGTTTCTTTTACTATAGCTATTTTTCTCCGACCGATGTAGACTAAATAACTCAAAACCTTCAACCTTCATGTTAATATATTCACTCGACCAAGTTTCTGTCAAGAAAATCATACTGTAATCATCGAATAAAGTCCGTAATTCGGGTGTTTCTAGTTTATTTACATTTTTGGAAACGAGACACTGTACATTTAAAAGTGCACATTTAATAGGTTGTCTCTCCCTATTGTCCTATTGTCCGGTGATTTTCTCGTGATTTTCGATTAATACGGAATTAGGTGAAAAATTATGACCGTCCGTGCCACTACCGTTCACTAGGTTGTCACGCTCCACGTGCCGTCTGTCGTCTACTGTTAAAGCAGACGATACAATGCTAAAATGGGGTATATTTGGCGAGCTAGAGGCAGTTCCCGCTGTTACTTGGCTATACGTAGGAAGGGACTGAATTCGTGGTGGTATGCGATATGTTTGATTTCGACTATCACTAGGATGCGCCGGCGATTGTGAAAATTGAGGGTTGCTAACTGAGTTATCGGCTTCCGTTGAAACAGAGTAGACACTTTGTTTATGTTTACTATGCGAACTATTTTGACCCATAAACATTTTACACCTGTCTTGGTTCAAGATTTCATGCCAGTCGGGGAACTCGTCTGCTATAACTCGTCCCTTTACAATGAGTTTCGCTGGATACGCGAGTTTTACCTCTGAACCATGCGAATCTCTTTCATTGCGATAACGGCCCCAAAGTCGTTTTCTTGCGCTAGCAATTTCCTTCGGATAGTCCCTATCAATACTATATCGTGTATGCTTCAGTTTCCTAGCTTGCTGAAGGATGAACTCTGTGTCGCCAAAGTCTCGAAAAGCGACAATGATTGGACGTCTGGTAGTTTGCGTAAGACCACTAGCGCGACGTAGAGAGCCTAAACGGTGCACACGCTGGACAAAATAATCCCCTAGGTCAAAATCTAGATGGTCGCTGCAAAACTGCGAAAGAAGTTCGTATGTATTCTCGGCCCTTACATCAGCTAAGCCGTAAAATATAAGATTATTGCGCCTCGAGCGCGCTTCAGTGTCTATGCTGTGATAGGCTAACTGTTTCATGTGACCATCTCTCACGCTAATAACATGCTCCAGGGTATCTACTTTTCGTATAGTGTTATCAATTTTTTCAGCCATTGACATAAAAGTTTTATCATTTGCATCTAATTTTTCCAATTTTCTGAACATCATGACTAATTTCTCATCAGTATTTAATGAAATAAAAGAAGATTCACTATTCGAAGTCATATATGAGCTACCTGTACTGTCCAATGCATGTTTCTGTCCCCCTCCTATGTTTATTGGTGTCTGCTCACATCCCACCCACTGCAGCGGGAAATATCTGTTAGATGTTGGCACGGCAAAAGTCACATTTTGTCTATTTGGGGTACTTGTATTTTGCAACACGTGCAAACTCATAGTGTTACCTTTCTAATGTATCCTTGAAAACAATTTTAAACACTCAAAAGCAGATCAAATATCCAAAAAATATCACATTTAGTTTTCTGCAGATAAATACACGTCCGCCATACTGTATTATTAATATCGAAACAAATAAAAAAAATAACGGATAAATTTTAGGTTCAAGATCAATATTTGGATAAAATTATTATGCTCATATCTTTTAAAATAACAATTAAATAATTTAAAAATTTCATAAACATTCTATTTCACATCCAGTTTTATCAAGTTAATACTGAATTTTTCATCTATGAGCATAAACGATGGAGAATATTTGATTTTTTTTTTCTAAATTTGATCCTTAGTGAACACGGGGCCAATGGTTAGTATTGTTAGTAATAAATAACGGACAGAAATTCATTTTTTTATCTTTAATTGTTTTGAAAATTTACATAAAATTATTTGAGAAGAATTGATGCTGTATACAGTAAAAAACATCTGGAAACAAAGTGATCCCTCGGAAGCATTAATCACAACAAAATTACAAGAGAATTGCAGACTCGGTACGTTTCAATGAGTCTGTACATGATGAATAATGAATGTATACGTGCAACATCCCTCACGCCTCCTAGCACCGACTTGAGCGGTACTCAATTCTCAACACTTAATGGTGCTGGCATCAATGATCCCGAAGAACCAGAAAAATATAACAACACTGAAGTGAAGCACGGGACAACTTTTTACAGCTGCCACACAGCATTTGACACCTGCTGTTGTGAAGTATAAAAATTACGGTTATAGTACGGTACTACAGTTATAGGACGGCACTGAACAGGCATTTATAGTCGATTTCATCACCGGGAAATACAAATTTGGAAACAAAATTGAATTATTGAGGAATCGCCATTAAACAAGTTTGCAGGTCTAATTTCTATTGATTGATTTTCATGTACGTATCACGTTCTACCATCAATTTATGTAAAGTCACTATATCATCACCGATGTAATTAAATTATTGTATTATGTAATGAGTTTTCGCGATGCAAAAAATGACATAATTTGCAATTTTGTTTTGTTTTTCATAATTTTATAGTAATGTTATCTGAAATATTAAGAGAGGGACTTCAACAATTATGTGTAATAAAAACATGAAAGAGGGGAAATAATTCTCACAAAAGTGACAGTAGCCAAATATTTTTCTCTCTGTTTATGTCAAATAGACTATTATTCTCAGTAGATCTAAACAAACAAAGTTTGATAGAAATATATTTATTACTTTTCTAGAAATATGATTTTTCATGTCATAAGCCCAATCGGGCATTTTCACCAGCCTGTTTACTCATAGCCAACAAAATACCTTGCAGCCCAAATTATTTAGGACAGATCGTGAATATATCTTAAATTTAGCAAACATATTTCTACTAAGATTAATAAGGCAAATAGTATTTTAGGTCTTATTAACCGGTCTTTTGAATTTTTAGATGAATACACCTTTGTGAAATTGTATATGGCTCTGATTCGTCCTCGTGTTGAATTTGTAACGTGCACGGGCTAGCTGTTATATATAATTTTTCTTATGGCTACTTTGCCAGTTGATTGGTTTCAAATGATTATTCAATAATGTGTTCAAACTTTGGAATCAAGTTTAATTAACTAATGTTATAACAGTAATGTGCTTGAAAGATAATAAGTGGTCCTTGAACTTGATATAAAATTGGGGTGACACTTTTTAGGCTATTTAATATATATAGAAAAACCACTTGGATATCGAGTTTTCAATACTTTAGTAATAACAATTACACCTAACGCAATGTTAAATTGATGCAATTGAAATACTTCGTAAATAGTGCAAGAACCCAAGTAATTAAACTAAAATATTAATTAATTAATTCTGTGGTGTTGACACTTCGGCAGCTGGACAGAGACTGATCGTCCGCAGCTTTGAGCTCTATTTATACCCAATTATGTAGTTATATTTAATGATCGTTTACTGAAGTTGAAGAAATCAAGCATCTAAGAGATATTGATAATGGGTCGAATATTAGTACTAATGGCATTGAGTTTGAATGATTTTAAGGACGTATTGTTCCTGATATTTTAGAAATAACAAAAATATGCCCGTTATATCAAATAATTGCTACGAGAAAGTTGTTTAATCTATTCATTTAATTTTTATGTATTTTTTACTCATTTATAAAAGATCTAACTATAATTTTAAACCCAAGATAACATATTTGTTTATAATTTAATTCACCGACAATTTAGGTACAAAACAACTAAATCATTATATTAGAATCTAGGCAGAATAGAACAATCGTCACATTACCCCCGTCTCTCAAAAAGCATGCGTCCCGCATGATACGTATTATTTGAAATATATTATAACTGTTATTCAATAAAATAATCAAAGACATATGTGTTTTTCTTTAATTCTGCTTATATCACCAGAATGATCATACTTTTAATAACAAAGCACATAGTTCGGGATCATAATCCCAGTTTTCTTCTCCACATCATGTTTCTTAACTTATCTACCTTTATTTAATTTGAATCACTTTGTCATCTTTGAAAATCAGACTCTAGCCCATGTTTTATTTTCATATGTCTCTTCAGATACTGTAATTTAAGGAAAACCTTACTACATCTTGTGCAGGTTCTTCTCTTTTCATGACTCTTTCTACATTCAGTTATATGTCCTTCGAAGTTAACAGTCTTCGGAATGCTCGTCTTACATACAGGGCACAGTGGTCGCATAATCTGGTTTTCATTTTTCACACTGCCTCCTTTTCTTTCGCTTGTCTTTGTCCCCGCCATTGAAGTACTTAAAATAGAACTTTCATAATGCTTAGCCCTATCTCGATTTTTACGTTGTTTTCTTTTTGTTTCTACTTGAACATTATCTTTCTGCTTTACTTCTGGTCCTGTCTCTCTACATTTGACAGTCGTAGATTCAGAAGATTTATCGACTTCATCGGATAGATCAATGCCAAAGCACCCTATTTTACCGGTACAATATAAATTAACAATATGCCCTATCAATTTCATTGTATTTCTAATAACATCATTACAAACACCATACTGTTGCATAAAATCAAGACCTAAAACAACATCATTTTCGATTTCAGCCACTACAACCTTGGTCTTATAAAGGTGTCTTTTAAACCTCAGGTCTATCTCTGTTTGTCCCTTGATTTTTAATAGATCACCACTTGTTGATGATACAGAAAGTTTAAAAGGTATAATTTTGTTATTGCTCTTAAGTTTAAGCCAAAGATTTTCTGAGGTACAGCATGCCTTACTGCATCATTCAAATCAATGGGTCTAGCTTGTTTTATCTTGAGACGCATGTCTGAATTTACAAGTGCATCTATGAATTGTTCTTTAGCTAAAGTGTCACGAACATCTATAGGAGCATGCGGGTACGGCAAGTTTGCAAGACGACGAACACCTTGTCCAAGTTCAGCCATTGATTCAGTAGCTTTTTGATGTCTATCTCTCAACTGAACTCTATATAACTCAGTCTGATTTCTTGGTGAAAATCTATCTTCGAGTGCTCTCACAAGTTCCTCATAATTGTGTGTCTTTGATGTCAAATTTCCGAACACTCCTTGAGCTTGGCCTCGTAAGGATACAGATAAGTATAAACCTTTCTCATTTTCATTCCAACCATTCAAAGTTGCACAAGCGTCAAAGTGTGCTTTATAGTTTGTCCATTCACAAGTTCCGTCATAAGTTGCAGGTTTCATGAAAGTAGACCTTGAATCTTTTACTTTGTAATCAAAACTTTTGTCTGAAGCTTGATTGTTATCCAATTTCTGTTGTTCTTTTGGAGTTTCAGGGGGTAGCAAGTCAACAATCCTCCGTCTTTGGGTGATCATTGGTCTTTCACATCCCTCTCATGTTTTTCACTTTGAACAGGCAATGAAGGCAAAATACGTCTAGGCTTTGAGGTAGTCTTTCTACTTGGTGTAAAACCTTCATAAGTATTCTCTGTTTTTACCATGACAGGTGTTGATGTAGTCAGCTCAATACTTGTCTGGTCAATTTGTCTTTGAAGACTATCAATCTCTCTCTGGAGTTTCAGCCTACGATTCTCATTCCTAAGATTTTCCATTTCATCATACATATAACAAAAGTCTTCATCGGACCATTTACTTCTATACTCAGCCATGTTCTTAAAAGTCTAGGGTAAGTAAGCCTATCTTTAGCTAGAAGTGTCCCCCGTTGGGCGACAATTTTGTAACGTGCACGGGCTAGCTGTTATATATAATTTTTCTTATGGCTACTTTGCCAGTTGATTGGTTACAAATGATTATTCAATAATGTGTTCAAACTTTGGAATCAAGTTTAATTAACTAATGTTATAACAGTAATGTGCTTGAAAGATAATAAGTGGTCCTTGAACTTGATATAAAATTGGGGTGACACTTTTTAGGCTACTTAATATATATAGAAAAACCACTTGGATATCGAGTTTTCAATACTTTAGTAATAACAATTACACCTAACGCAATGTTAAATTGATGCAATTGAAATACTTCGTAAATAGTGCAAGAACCCAAGTAATTAAACTAAAATATTAATAAATTAATTCTGTAGTGTTGACACTTCGGCAGCTGGACAGAGACTGATTGTCCGCAGCTTTGAGCTCTATTTATATCCAATAATGAAGTTATATTTAATGATCGTTTACTGAAGTTGAAGAAATCAAGCATCTAAGAGATATTGATAATGGGTCGAATATTAGTACTAATGGCATTGAGTTTGAATGATTTTAAGGACGAATTGTTCCTGATATTTTAGAAATAACAAAAATATGCCCGTTATATCAAATAATTGCTACGAGAAAGTTGTTTAATCTATTCATTTAATTTTTATGTATTTTTTACTCATTTATAAAAGATCAAACTATAATTTTAAACCCAAGATAACATATTTGTTTATAATTTAATTCACCGACAATTTAGGTACAAAACAACTAAATCATTATAGAATCTAGGCAGAATAGAACAATCGTCACAAATTTGCAAATGTTGTGTGGAATCCATATTTAATAAAAGATATATCAAGTCTAGAAAAACTTCAACAAAGAGCAACAAACCTAGTTTCATCATTAAAAGATCTGACATATATTGACCGTCTTAAAAAGCTTAAACTGCCAAGTCTAATACATCGCAGATTAAGAGGGGACATGATTCAGACGTTCAAAATAGTAAAAGGCTTAGATGACTGTGTTTTTGAATTTTTTTTTAGTTATTCGGCATCAACAAGGGGACATGATTTAAGACTAAAAATGCCTCGTAGTAGAACAACTCATTGCCTACATCAGTTTGCAAGAAGTGTAATTAAAAATGGAATAATTTGCCAAAAAAAGTAGTAGATTCAAAAAGTGTTCATGAATTTAAAATAAAACTAGACCAACATTGGAATGGAGACACTCCATATAAAGTTTAAAATGTTATTATTAAAAAATTATACTGTTAAAATTATAGTTTTATACATCAGAGTGAACAGAAATAGATGTAAGTATATATAATTAAACATAGAAGTGGTGAGAGCAATAAAAAGAAGTAGTGAAAGATTGTCAAAAGAAGAGGGGCTTAAAAAGGGCTTGGCCATTCCATCAGAGCCCAGAATCATCCTACAGGTATCCTACAGGTATAGCAAAATACTATCAAAAAAAAGTATCAGTACTATATTTGCAATGTATTTTGATGGTATTGAGGAGCACAGGGTAGGTTACTTGGGAAAGGGCTTAAGTAGTCTCAAGCAGATAGCCTGTGTATCCTTCATACATGACTCAAATGTTTGATTTTCAAGAAATAAAGTTTGATAACTTTACTTAAAGTCTCAGTCCACAATTTTTGCAAGGCTTCAATTAAAGCTGTGATTTCTCTTTAAAGAAAATAATGTAAGAAAATCATTAGTGATTTTACAGACAGATATGTTTATAATATTTCAGAAAAGGAATGGCAACTCCAGAGAATGACTTAGTCCCCAGCATCAGTCCAGCCAATGGAGGAAGGAGCTCTGGGTTGAGACATTCCCGGGCTACACCGGAACTAATGAATGTTAGTCCGTTATCACAGGGTACTCCTCTTACGGCAAGCCAGGAACCATCGCTAGAAGACTTGCTCAGAAAAAGAGAATGGCTGTATTCACAAAGGAACCAGCTTAAGTCTGAGTTACATACAATTCAATCAGGTAGATGTTGTATACATAATTGTATTTTTATCAAGTTGTCATATGGCAAAAATTTGCCACAGTAAATTTACGAAATTGGCGACAATGACATCTAAAGTGTGTGTAAGAATAAAATTTAATATGTTTTATAAATGCATGTAAAAGATGTTTAAAAACTTATATTTACCTCCATGCCATTGCAAGCAGGGTTTGCAAAGTACCAGAAATGCATGGCTAAATACAATTTGCAAATGCAGTTTTTCAATTTGGATGGATTTTTACAAAAAAAAGAAAGTATTTATAAAAGATGGAAAAATGGAACATATTTACTTTAAAACCTGTTTAATATTACAAGAATTTAACATTTTCTAGGGCATTTATAACATATTTAAATAAGGTGTGTATATTTTAGAGGCTGCAAGAAACATTGACACAATGACTGCTAACCAACTTAGAAACCTGTAAGTACTTTTGACTTTTTCGACAATTCATTTTATATACTGTAATATACATGTAATAAAAATTTTTGATAATGATAGAAACATGAGAACAAAATTTGTGTACCGGTAACCAGTTAGCCCTTGCAACTTACTTGTTTGTCCATGGTGTATTACCAGGTAAATTTTCAAAATTGGCACAAATGTTTGTTTCAGTGAAACAATGTAGTATGCTCAAGAACTTGTTTTAGTTGCTCAATGGTCAAGTTATACATTAGGGTTAAAGGTCAAGATTTGTGCAGTATTTCTTGTACAGAATGCAAGTTGTAAATGGCAGCATGTCCGAGTGGTTAACACATCAGACTAGTTATCTAAGGATCGCTATCCACATGGGTTCAAAGCCTTGTCCTGGTTTCCTTGAACAAGAATCTTTATATTTGTAACTGAACTCAGTACTGGTTGGTTCCAGGTACTGATTTGTGTGTCTTTAAGCTTCCTTCAAAATCAAACTGAAATAAATTCTAAGTATCAAAAAGGAAAGGCTGTAGAACAACATCTTAAATAAACTCTGTATGAACCAAGATGTACCTAGCTTATATATGGAGTAAGTCTGATATAACTTGGCACAAATGTTTATCTGGATAAGACATTGTGTTTCCAAGTCAGACAAGTAGCTCTACAATTAAGATCATTCTTAGAGGTCAAGCTTCTAAATTGAATGTAAAACAGTAACTGTATATTTTTTATGCTTTCCTGCAGATGTAATTTACCTTTCCATCACACTTATTTCAGATATGATCAGTTGAAAGAAGATTTACTACAACACAGCACATTAAATGATGGAAGAGAACTTATACTGAAAGGGTATGTAACACTAAAACTTAGGTTTCATAGATTCCTTTGTTTTCGGATTGTTAAAGTCACCACATTGGTATCACATGCACTTCACTGCTGCTGGCTCACTGCAATATTTCAGTTTTGTGGTTGTGCATTCTTTAGGGATTCTGTTTATCTCTATTTTGGTACTCTGGATTCCGTCTTGTGAGTAATCCATAGGTGGTTCAACTCATATGAAGCCTTTTTCTTGGAAAAAAAAGAATGGACAGAGAGCCAGAGGTCTTCACGGAACATCACAATATGACTTTTATATAGCAGACTTAACCTTAACTCTGAACTGCTGAATTTCTTGAATGAACATGTTCAGCTTCCAATTTTGGTACAGTCCATTATCAATTTTTGGGGATATCGAGGTAAAATATGAAGTTGATGTTGAAATCCCTTAATGTTCCAAATTCAAAACAGGGCAAATCCATAATGAAGTAAACAGGTTTTATGTTAAGAAAGTCATATGACAAATGTTGCCATACTATGTTGCCATACTTGTGAATTGGTATATACTTTTTATATTTTCTACAGAGTTATGCCTCTTTTCTTCGTGTCAAGTATGGACAGCTCTTGTTTTACATTAAAGCTACAATTTATGATTAAATCTCCAATTATTTCAGAGAATGTTTGAATGAGGTGACATTATCTGTTCTTCAATGTAAACTCACTGGCCACGATGACTCAGAAACTTTAGAAAAGAAAAGGTAACTTTTTGTATACATATTAATTATATACTTTTAATAATTGCGTTAATACCCTTGTGAAAAAACTGTATTCCTGGCCAGCAAAGATTTACTGAGACTGCAACTGTTAAATCTGATGGTCTGGATGTCATTTTGTTTTAATTTAAGATCATTTGTTTTATTTTCAAACAAGAGTTGATTATCTTATTACCAGTCGGGTCCTTTTGTTTGTTGTTAAGTTGATAAAGGACCTTATCACACTTTGCTAGTCATATTTTGGTTATATTTTGGTATATTGTTTCATTCAAACATTTGTGATTTATTAAGACCAAACTTAAACAAACAAGTAATGAGAAATATCAATTTCAATAAATGATCAGTCAAACTTATTCATGTAAGATGCTTTATGAAAACGTTTTCAATTGAAAGAAGAAAGTTTGCCTGAAAAGAAATAATTTTTGCGCGATCAAATACTTGTGAATAATTTTAGTTCGTAAAAAATTGCAAATGTTTCCACGTTGCAAAATTAACGACTTATACAGTATTATTAATGAAACTATAAAAATTAGTTGTATAATGCTTTAATCATATATTGCAATCTGATTTGTAGGGAACTGGAAACTATTTTAGATGAGTATACAACACTGGCGTCTCAGGTAGCAAAAGAACACAAGGTATATATCTGTAAAAATATAGAATTTCAAAAGTAAAATATCATTATATATTAATCAAAATTTCCTAGGGCTACTTTTTTTTGAGTAAAAAGCATTTGAAAGTTTTTCATTTTTTAGAATAATTTGCACAGTTAAAATGATCTTTTTCTGGAAATGCAAGGTGAATTACCAGAATTTCACACACATTGGTATTTGTCTAGACAAATGCATCAATACGTAAACAAATATTTCCCAGATCCGTCATATGTCAAAAAATCTCAGTTGATACCTTTAATATTATTAAAAGTAAATTGAATTATTATGTGAGGTAACGTTTGATTGGTTGTTTGCACTATAGACTTACCCGGAACTTAATAATATTCAGTTTTTCCCAGCTAATCGGGGTGTACAAACAACATTTTAGGTAACAGCTTTGAAATTAAGCACAACAGGTTGACTAATCTTTTTGTGACCGATGGTGCACCGTGAAGCTCGAACGGTAAAAACTGATAGTGCACCGTTTAAGCTCTAACGGTAAAAACTGATAGCGCACCGGTGAAGCTCTAACGGTAAAACTGATAGTGCACACCGTGAAGCTCTCACAGTAAAACTGGATAGTGCACGTGAAGCTCTTACAGTAAAAAAATGATAGTGCACCGTGAAGCTCTTACAGTAAAACTGATAGTGCAACGTTAAGCTCTTAACAGTAAAACCGATAGTGCATCCGTGAAGCTCTAACGGTAAAAACTGATGTGAAAACCGTGAAGCTCTCACAGTAAAACTGATAGTGCACCGTGAAGCTCTCTTACAGTAAAACTGATAGTGGCACCGTTAAGCTCTAACATAAAACCGATAGTGCAACCGTTAAGCTCTAACGGTAAAAACTGATAGGGTGCACCGTGAAGCTCTCACCAGTAAAACTGATAGTGCACCGTGAAGCTCTTACAGTAAAACTGATAGTGCACCGTGAAGCTTACCAGTAAAACTGATAGTGCACCGTGAAGCTCTAACAGTAAACCGATAGTGCACTTAACCCGTGAAGCTCTACAGTAAAACCTTGATAGTGAAGCCCGTTAAGCTCTAAACGGTAAAACTGATAGTGGCAGCCGTGAAGATCTAATGGTAAAAACGAATAGCGCACCATGAAAGCTCTAAGAGTAAATGGAATAGTGCACCAGAAGCTCTAACAGTAAAACCGATAGTGGCACCATGAGCTCTTACAGTAAAACTGAATAGTGCACTGTGAAAGTCTCTAACAGTAAAACTGATAGTGCACCGTGAAGCTCTAACATAAAACGATAGTGGGCACCGTGAAGCTTAAAAGGTAAAACATGATAGTTGCCCCAACCGTGAAGCTCTAACAGTAAAACTGATAGTGCACCGTGAAAGATCTAAAGCAGTAAAAAACGATAGTGCAATGCCGTGAAAGCTTCTAAAGGGTAAAACTGATAGTGCAACCGTGAAGCTCTAATCGTAAAATGATAGTGTCACCGTGAAGATTAATGGTAAAACTGATAGCGCACCATGAAGCTCTAAGAGTAAAACTGATAGTGCACCCATGAAGCTCTAAACAGTAAAACTTTGATAGTGCACCGTGAAGCTCTTATTGGTTAAAGACTGATAAGGTGCACCGTGAAGCTCTAACAGTAAAACCTGATAGTGCAAACCGTGAAGCTGCTAAAGTAAACATGATAGTGCACTGTGAAGCTCTAACAGTAAAAACCGATAGTGCACCGTGAAAAAGCTCTAACAAAAACGATAGTGCACCGTGAAGCTCTAAAGGGTAAAACTGATAGTGGCACCGTGAAGCTCTAACAGTAAAACCTGATAGTGACCGTGAAGATTAATGGAAACTGATAGCGGACCATGAAGCTCTAAAAGTAAAACTGATAGTGCACCATGAAGCTCTAACAGTAAAACTGATAGTGCACCGTGAAGCTCTATTGTAAAACTGATAGCGCACCGTGAAGCTCTAACAGTAAAACTGATAAGTGCACCGTGAAGCTCTAAAGGTAAAAACTGATAGTGGGCCCGTGAAGGCTCTATTAAAGGTAAACTGATAGTGCACCATGAAGCTTCTAACAGTAAAAACTGATAGTGCACCGTGAAGATCTAATGGTAAAATGATAGCGCACCATGAAGCTTCTATCAGTTAAAACTGAATAGTGCACCGTGAAGCTCTAAAAGGTAAAACTGATAGTGCACCATGAAGCTCTAAACGTAAAAACTGATAGTGCACCGTGAAGATCTAATGGTAAAACTGATAGCGCACCATGAAGCTCTATCAGTAAAACTGATAGTGCACCGTGAAGCTCTAAAGGTAAAACTGATAGTGCACCGTGAAGCTCTAAAAGTAAAACTGATAGTGCACCGTGAAGCTCTAACAGTAAAACTGATAGTGCACCGTGAAGCTCTAATGGTAAAACTGATAGTGCACCATGAAGCTCTAACCGTAAAACCGACAGTGCACAGTGAAAATCTTAAGGTAAAAATTTGTTTTTCCTGGGTGATTAGTGCACAGTGTAACTCTTAAGGTAAAAAGTTGTTTGTACCATGGGATAAGCATGAAAAAAAAACACATTTGCCATGTTCCCGGAAAACATCTATTAACCTGGCTGTGTTTTATATTGTTCACAATCTTGGCATTTCTCTTAATCTGATTTCATTATTATTTTTTTATTTCAGGAGAACTCCAGTCTGAGAGAAAACCTTGAGAAACTAAAACTGGAAAATTTTAGTATGATATCATTAATTCACATTGGCATATATCTTTTGAACCTAGTCAGAAGTTTTATTGAACACTTTCTCTTGATGCCAGTATTCTTTGTTGATTTTTTTTATGGTGCCGGGTTTTTCCGTTTGAAAATTTGGAAAGGGTTCTGATATTGAGAAATTCCTATACACGTGAAAGATAATTTAGATGACATGAAACTTCAATCTGAAACATAATCAAAACCATAGCTTTTAGGAAAATTTCAAAAAAAGATGGACTGGTAAATCATCAAACAGTGCATCTATGATCCGATAAGCAAGGGTTGCTAGTTGATCAGTTGTTCTGCACTGGTCGAAATGTGGAATCCTAAAGGCGCTTGCATGGCTAAGGTTTATTTCTCCTGCTTTGTTGGGGCCTATTTGAATATTACCCATTTTTATGTTACGAGATTTCGTTATTAAAAGTTGATTAGAATAAATTCAGCCAAGGACAGCTCTGTTGCAGCGTGGTTTAATGTCGTTCAGTGGAGGCAAGGTGCCTTTGTTTGTCAACAACATTTTAATAAGCGGCCACAGAACATCTGCAGAATGACTACCCAAATTGATAAAAATTTAAAATCACTTATAATTTCCATTTAGAATATATGGTGCAGATATTTTGAAGTTTATTGGATCGATGTTTTGGTTAAAGGGTGTAAATATTAGAATTAAATGTGCTAATATTTTAAGGATACTGTTGTCATTTATTTTAACAGTTCTAAAAAAAAGAATTGCATGAAAGAATTATTATTCGGAGAATCAGGGAAGAAACCCCGGAAAGGGCCCCAAAGAGAGGGAGTTTAAAAGGGCTTGACAACCTGACGAGATGGTAAAAGGGTAATACAAATTTTATGTCAAATACTAATATTTGGTTTTTGTTAAATGGTTTTTATTAACATCTGACCCGTGGTTTATATTTTTGGAATTTTAAAAATATTTTATCGCCTTTTTTTTTTCTAATTCCCAAGGGTTTAAAAAAGTTATCCCTGATTTTTCTATCTTTTTTGACAGATGTTGAGGAAAAAAATTGTGAGTAAAAAAAAATTTTTAAAATTTGGGGTTAAATTTTTTTTTCAAAAACATTTTTTCTGGGTTTTTGTTTGAAAAAAACTAGGGGTTATTTTGGGTGGGTTTTATTCTTGATATTTGGGGCAAATGTGCTCCTCATTCAGGGAAAAGTATGGACCCCTTTAAGGGGTTCCCCCAAAATTTAAAAAATTTTGGGCAAAAGCCCCAAAATTTTTTAAGGGAAAAGAAGGGAAAAAAATGTCAAAATTATATTCTTTTGAAACAGCAATTTTTGGCATAAATTTAAAAGACTTATTCAAAAGTTTAGCTCGTTTAGACAAATTTTGAAAAAAATTTAAATGCCCGACGCCCCCATTCAATGTCAAAATAAAAGTTTAAAAGGGCATTGTTTAAATGTTTAAGGGCAAGGTAACAGGGTTTTTACTTAAGGGGAAAGTTAAAAGGGCAAAGGGAACGTTTAACAGTTTTAAAGGGCAAGGGGGGAACAAATTGAACAGTTTTAAAAATAAAGGGAAAGTTGAACGTAAATCAAGGGGAAAGTTGAACAGTTAAAAAGGTTTTAAGGTAAATTAAACATTTTAAAGGGCAATAACAGTTAAAAAAGTTAAAGGGGCAAGGAAAAGTTAAAATGTTTAAAGGGGAAGGGAAAGTTAAACGGTTTAAAAGGGGAAGGGGAAAGTTATTTTAAAAGGGCAAGGGAAAGGTTTTAAAAGGCAAAGGCAGGTAACAATTAAAGGGCAAGGGAACAGTTTGAACAGGTAAAGGGCAAAAGGGGGGAAAAAGTTAAACCCGGTTTTTAAAGGGTTCAACCCCGGGAAAAGTTTAAAAAGTTTTTAAAAGGTTTAAGGTAACAGTTTTTAAAAAAATTTAAAAGGGAAGGTAAAAGTTTAAAAAAGGGAAAGGTCAAGGGAACATTGAACAAAGGGAAAGGTCAAGGTTTTCAGTTTTTAAAAAATTAAAAGGTTTAAGGTTTTAAAAGTTAAAATTTAAAAATTAAATTCAGGTTTTAAGTTTAAAACTGTTTAAAATGGTTCCAAGGTAAAAAAGTTAACTGTTAAAAAGGTTTAAAGGTTAAAAGTTAAAAAGGTTAAAGGGTAAGGTAAAAAGTTAAATCGTTAAAGGGGGCCAAAGGTTTAAGGGAAACAGTTAAAGGTTAAAAAGGGAAAAAAGGTTTAAATTTTCCAAAAGGGTTTGAAACCAGCAAAAAATGTTTCTGCTCTCAAACTTTTTCACATATTTGTTTTTTAAACCCCAATTTTTTTTATAAAATTTTCCCCTTTTTTTTTTTTAAGGTTTTGGAAATTTATGGGGGAAAAAAAAAAAAGAAAAAAACTTTCGTATTTTTTTCTTAAAATTTTATTTTTGTTTTTTTGTAAATTTTTGGGTTTTATGAAATTATGCAGGGCCAAAAATCAACTGAACCCACATTTTAAAACCCAATGTCTACAAAAGGCCCAAACCCTTTGGGGAGCGGAAAATTTAAAATGGGGCGAGGAAAGAAGGGAAAAAAAGTTTTGCTCTTTATGCAGGAAGGGCCCAAACTTTTCATATGTAAAAAAAAAACATTGCGTTGAGTCTTTTGCCCTTTTGACAATTTTTGATGACCCTTTTTTAAAAGCTTTTTTCAGCAATTTTGGAAAATCTACTTTATTTAAGGGCCCCCGGCAAAGACTTTTCATATGTAAGGAATTTATGGTTTGGTCTTGGATGTAAAATTTTAAATGACCCTATTAATTTCTTTTAGTGTAAATTAAAAATTTTATAACTTTAAAAAATGCTTTTTGCTAAAACAGTTTTTTAGCTGATTTGACCCGGAAAAAGGTTTGGGGTTACTGTATTTATTTAGAAGGGCTGTTCTACATTTTCATAAACTTTTGGCCCCCAGCCGGGGTTAAAATTGTATGCCCCTCAAAGTGGGGGTCGTTTGGGGGTTTAACTCTTGGGGTTGAATAGGTTTCCCAATGATTCCCAGTTTTGGGAAATTCCCGAAAGTGGGAAAGGAAAAAGTTCCCATTTAAATAGGCTTGGAACCTTTCAGAATAATTTTGAAAAAAATATAATTTTTATGTAGTGTTTTTAACTTTTCCCTTTTAAAACCTTTTCAGGAAAAAAACGTTTATCCCCAAAATATAGTAATTTGAAAAAAAGGGCCGGTTTTTTTGGGGTTTTCCTTATGTACCCCCGTTAACCTGATGCTTTTCCCTATTTAAAAAAAGATTAAATTCAAAAAAACCCTTTTTTTTTTTGAATGTATTAACCCACTTTTGGGGGAAAAAAAAAAAAAGAAAAATGATTTTTACACTTTTTGCCCATACAGGCCCTTTTAATTTTATGGACCCTAATTTTTTTTATATTTGGGGTTGGGAAAATATCTTGCAAAGGTTCTTTTGGTTTGAGTAAGGGGTTTTAAATTTGGGAAAAAAGGTCAAAGGGGGCCAAAAAGGGGGTTTTAAATTTTTGCTTTTGTTTGTTTGTTTCCTTTTATGCCTTTTCCCCAACAGTATTTCAGTCATATAGGCGGGTAGTTTCCTAACCATCGTTCTTGGAGAGTTACACCAGTACAAGACTACCTTCATCCGCGCTAAACTACCAAAGCATCTCCCGGAGATCGAACCCACGCCAGAGAGGTAACTGGATTAGAAGTCATTGACTCTAACCCTTTGACCACGGAGGCGGTTTTTGCACATTTGTTTATGCAACCTTTATTTATAGACCGATACACACCTTGGGTGGTCCAGTGCTGAGTGTCACAAGGCCAATATCTTTTGTGCTGACAATATATCTTTTTACACTTTTTTTTATACAGCCTTTGTATAGTTTTTTACCAATGTCTGATAGTTACAAGCGACATAAATAAATTGAAGTTTGGATGTAGTCTGTGCTTACTGGGTTTAAGGTAAAGTCTTGCATTTATATATACATTTGATAAAGTACATCATCACAAGACATGCAATGACGTGCCAACTTACATTTTTCATATTTATAAAACGCCATGACTCTGTCAAGTTTATAACTGTGTTTACAATGTTTTTGGCAATTTTTCTGTTCATAACTTAGTGAATGGGTAAACATTTTTGACAAGTGTCTGAGCCGGGGCATTTCTATTTAACAAACACATTTGTGTTTAAAAAAACCTTTGTAAGTTATTTACCAATGTCTCATATTTACAAGGAACATACCTAAGTTGGTCCTTTAAGTTTGGATGGATTTTGGGATCACTCGGTTCAAGGTAAAGTCTTGCATTTATATATATTTGACAAAATTAAATATTTTCCATCACAAGTCATAGCAATGACTTGCCAACTTATATTTTTCACAATTACATGTCAAGATACACAACTGTGTTTACAATTTTTTTGGCAATTGTCCATTAGTGAGTGAATGGGTAAACATCTTTGGACGCAATTTTACTGATAAGAATCAGAGCCGGGGCATTTGTATTTAACAAATAAGTTCGTGTTTATACAGCATTTGTTTTTTTACCAATGTCTCATTTATACAAGAAACATACCTAAGTTGGTCCTTTAAGTTTGGATTGAGTTTGTGGTCACTCGGTTTTATTAACAAGAATCTGAGCCAGGGGCATTTGTGTTTAATAAACATGTTCTTGTAAGAAAACTTTGGCACTATGAAGAGTTGAAGACCTCTGTTTGCCTTTTCTTACAATTGGTATGAGTGTACACCCTAGCCATTGTTCTGATGTATGCACTCAAGACCAGAACTATATCTCATCGATTATCACTTCTCAATTGAATAAAATACGTGAAAAAAGAATGGAATCAGTAATTTTATTTTTTATTTATATCCATGTGTTTCAGTTGTAGACAAAATTCCTTTGGTGACCGTATTTTGCTAGCATAACCCTAATTGTGTTGAGTTTACCTATGCTTAGTTGGTTAAGGGCCGAGTTGACCCTTTACCGTGAATTCTAGTCTGCTTAGTCAGATCCGCTCAATT